AAAAAAAAGGTAGGCGGTATTTTGACGTTATGAGCTATAACCCCCAGTTTAGCGGGAGATGAGAGCCAAGCAGGCAGCCACGAGGTAGAGGAGCCGGGGCCCTTTCTCCCTTTGCCATGACAAGGCTGGCACCCGGTGGCCGAGGCAGAGATCGCGCCTCCCCAAACTGACTTCCAGCGTCGGGGGGCGTCCGGGGGCGCAGACCTGCCGAGAGAAGGGAAGGACCCAGCCAAACACACTCCGAGCTAGTTTTGGTTACTCCTTTCTATATTTTCTCACTTTCGTGTGGCTGGAAGACCAGGAATTAATTTCACCAGAGAGACTGTAACTTTTTTCAGATGGCTTAGAGTAAGATGAACACCTCACACCTTTTATTTCTAAGATTTCCAGAGTACTTAAAAGACAGATAGCGGGGAAAATACTCATATACAAACCCAACCACCCTGAATGTCTCAGCACCTAACTCCCTTTTTGAGGCTTGTCAAGAAATAGAACAACGCATAGGCTAAATACTAAAGAGAAAGCCACTACAATAAACTTTTTCCTGGCAAGTTTATTTGCTGGCATTTGTAAATCCACTGAGAAAGTGTAGTGCAATCAATATAGCTGAGGCCCAAGTTCTAATTACAGCCTTCTGTTTGAAAACAGCTTTTCTTTAAACACTACGTGGCTAGTGGTAGCGATAGAATATTCCCTAAAAATAAGAAAATGGTTCATTAGTGTTCATGGAAACAGAAGATCAATCTGCCCTTGTGAAAGCTAATGAATACACAGAAATATCACATCATGACCCCTGATCTCAATGCCTGAGGCAGCAGTATTATTATGCGCTCGCCAGAATTGCTCAGCAACAGGACTCAGATACAACTCTTAATGCATTAATTTTATCTGTGTGATTATTTAAATTAATGACATTCTGGCTGCAAGTCACAAACTTCAAGAGATGTTCATCTGCTTAAATATTAATGATGCTTTTCTACTGTAAGGTGTAAGAAGGCAAAGCAGAACTAAATACTAACAACTTTAAGAATAAATATTAACAACAGTACGAGCATGAAAAATAAAGCTGTTTCACTCAGACAAATGCTGAAACAATCCACTTAAACTGCTACCCTCCCTTCCTCAAGGAAGCAAAAATTATTTTGTTAAATCTTGGTCAAGCAAAAAGTGCAAGATCTTCTTTATTTAAAAAAAAAAAAAAAAAGTTTTGAAGTATGACGAAAATACCTTGAGGTCTTGAGCGACTTTTGGCAAGTCCTTGTGTGACTCCATCTCCCTCTATAAAATGGAAATGGAGAGGATGTCAGCCATCCCATTTCTCTCAGTAGCACAATGATTTACAGTAGTTACATTGCCCTCTATGCTATTTTAGATAATGGCATTTGCATTCTGTTACCTGTAATAAGAATGTCTAAGAAAAAGAAATGTAATTTGAAGTCTTGATATGATTTTATATATCATATATCTTATGATTTTTTTTTCCCTAATGTACTTGATTCCAAGATTAGCCTTTTAAGATCATTACCCGCCGAGTTCTGCTGCAGTCTGGACCGTCTCCGTCTACCCACTGTGCTATTACCAGTTTGCTGGTTCATTCCT